AAAATGGTGTAATGGTGTGGTCGTGTTTTTCATGGAGTGGGATTGCACCCCTTGTTGTTTTGTGTGACTATCAGTGCACAAGCCTTCGTTGATGTTTTAAACACCTTCTGCATCACACTGTTCAAGAGCAATTCGGGGATGGCGATTGCATCTTTCAAAACGATCGAACATCTTTTCATATCCGTCTGTGGCAGAGTGGTTGCACGACAATAATATCTCTGTAATGGACTGGCCTGCATAGTCCTGTCTCGAATCCTACTGAACACCTTTGGCATGTTTTGGAACGCTGACTTAGTTTCAGGCCTCACCAGCCTACATTGAAACCTCTCCTCAGTGCAGCACTCCTTGAAGAATGGGCTGCTATTCTCCGAGAAACCTTCCAGCACCTGATTGAAAGTATACCTGCGAGAATGGAAGCCGTCATTAGGACTAAGGGTGGGCAACACCCTATTGAATTCGAGCATTACCGATGGAGGGCGCCACGAACTGGTAAGTCATTTTCAGCCATGTATCCGGATACTTTTCATCACATAGTGCATTTCAAAAAACTACAAACATTCCGTTAAATTGCATCCTAATCCACGTATTTCATTCTGAATTCATTTTCATTCAATTGGTTATTTCGAATTACCACGAGCAAATTACTGTGGGATTAACTCCGAATGTCTAGTACTTATGCTGTCTAGATACTTACAAGTGATTTAATATCCAACTGAAATAATTACTCGTAGATATAAGAATGGACAATGTTCATTTTTTAAAGCTCCAAGATCTTTATGAAGATTGAGAAATATTCCAGCAAGCCCAACTTTTGACAATCAATACCTTATCTCTTGTTATCATGTTTTAAAACAGATTACAAAACCTCCAAATGTCAGGATTATTGGAGTATCATGGAAGGTTCATTATTTGGGAAATGAACACAGGTTTGGAGAAAGAAAGTACTCCACTTGATGTCTTCCCAAATTTTAGGAATGAAATTAAATGGCATTTTAGAATAAAAACTTAGGTTCAAAATTTATTTACAAGGCACCCCCCATAGTTTGAAGCTTTATACGTCAGCTTGAAAAATAGAATAAAAATAGTATTTGTAGTAAATTGTTTGGAATTTGAATTACAACGTTTATTTCGAACAATCGAAGCTAATGATAGTTTTAATATTTCTATTAACAATTAATGTGAAATCAGGTAAAGTACTATCAGATTTCTCGCATTTATAAACGCAAACTAATTCTAAGAACGACATCAATATTTAATCTAACAACAAGCGTGATGTTTTTCATCAGATAAAAGGCAGCATCTTATAAATATTACTTCATTATAATTTTAAAATATGTTAGTACATTGTTTAAAGAAATAATCAGTATTAGTTAGTTGGTTTCTCTGAAGCATTCAATGTGTGCAAAAAATTGAATGAAACCCGCAGCCAATGGTCATATTAAAGGTAAATCACATTGAGACATTCTATTGTTAGAGATACTGAATATTCACGCTTGAACAAGTGGATCGAAACAAGCTTCGCTACTTTGATATCCTGAAAAGGATTACAAAATTGAAAAAGTAACTACACTACTCTGAAAAATTGTGGAACACATTTATATATACATAGATTTACCGTTCACTCATGTATACTTAAACTCAAAAAAAAGTCCGATGACTGTGTTAGAGTTATTGACTAGGATATGCGTATGTTGGCCAGTACAGAACATGGAATAAATAACAAACAAAAATATTTGTAAATGCACTTTCGTAAACTATTTTATAAAAAAGAAAGGATATCATAAGATGCGATACTGTGACAAGGGAGTGTCCTCTCAATGAATGAAAACGATAACACACCTGTTACCCATCAGACTGAGGTACATGAGATAGTGATACACGTTTCGTCCATTTCTTATCAAACTCTTAAGAGTAAAAAAATCTAGAATGCGAAGCATAATTTAAGATCCGCAAGGTGTGTAATAAAACGTATTTGGCTTCAATGAACTAGTCACAAAAGCCAATAGTCTGTTAAAAGTATAGAAAAGGAAAATGATTATCATCATTGATGTAATAAGTTATAGAACATATTAATCTTGAGATGTACACCAAATTATAATTAATCTCATTAAGAAAGAAAATTATGAATCATAGTTCCATTTATATATTGTATCTAATTGTTCGGAAAGTGTGTCTGTGTTTTCTTTAGAACATCCAAGTGAAAATATAAAGAATAGTAATAATAATAATAATAATAATAATAATAATAATAATTGGCGTGGATAGGTCACTCAGTACTTATTTAAATAATTCGGATCCCAAACCACAATCACAATTTAAAAACTTCATTCCATTTAGCAAGAACTGAAAGTATTAAATATTCCGCAAATATTACCTGCGTTACAATGTTTGACTCTCTTAGTGTTAGACTTTTACGGTCTAAATAATCACATGAACTATCAGTCAGTGCGACAGCAAATGTCCTATCAAGTCCGAACCGGTAACTTCGAAGGTTCAAAACACGTCGGCGATGGAACTTACACACTGGATTAGCAGCTAGGTCGCAAGATATCATATTGTGCATGACTACTCCACTCGTGAACGTAAAACCAATGGTGTTTAACTATACGTATAAAATGACCCAATCGGGACGGTGTATCTAAAAAAATATATCGCTTTTTATATATGATTTCTCTTACCGACCCTCCCTAATGGCCAATAGCTGCGACTCAACTTATTCATCTTAGAAGGCGGTGTGTAAAGATAGCTATATTGACGTGCAATTAACTGCGAATGTACAATAATATAACCGCTTTGATTTTAACCTGCTTTCAGTTATTTTCAATATTCATCGCATTTTGGAATTCTGTTGGACGAAATTCATTCGTGGAATAGTCCTATTATATACCACTTGTGCTTTAGAAATCCTCAAATAAATCCCCTCCTCGCTTCGAGAGTCGAAATTTATCGACAATTTACCTATGATGATGCCGCAAGTACGAGATAACAGGCCTAGGTTTAAATGTACGGTATTGGATCTAGGGTAGCGACAGAGCGAGTAAGGAGCTCCATAAGTTCCGCCAGCAAAAGCAGCATCGCCAGAAGATAAATAGGACGATTCAGGAATCGTCCAAAGGGCGTAATAAGAAGACACTTAATTTATGTATACATTAATGATGCTGTATGTCAAATGAATTGTAATGTTTCGTAATTGAAATATCCTTTTTTACTACACAGCAGAGACTTGTACGTAATATCTCAGAATAAGTGTTACAAACTTCTAGGGACTTTAGGTGTCGAATATAATTACTTTTTGCCAAACAATTTCATACAATTGAACTATATGCTTTTATAGCAGTGATGTCAAGGTCTTCTTCTGGTGGCAATGACAAGTTTCGTGGCACCATGACATGCCACAAGCTTCTCAGCACAACTAGCATCGGGAAAAGAAACTATCAGCAATAACCATGCCGTTTTCCATCTTGGTGGAATAGCTTGTAAAAAAGAGAATACGCCCTGACAAATAAAGGTAAAAAAGATAAATAAAAAAACTGCCGTTCTTAAATTCATTTATCTAAATAGCGGTTAATCGTATTTCATGTGTAAAGCCTAAAAGCGTTCAAAGCGACTTTGACTACCTACTGCTGTCTTGCAGAGAGTTACAGCGTGGAGGGGTGATTTCGTCGTGCCACCCACGCCACGGACTCCAGGTGGTGATATCGATCTTGACATCACAGTTTTATAGGGTGACATTTGCCCCTGATTTTGAAGCAACCCTATATGCACAAATGTTCCGCAGGTCCCGTTCTAGTGCAGACAAGGGGATTTCATGTAACTACCAAATATCTGCGCATTCTGGGTTGCCTAAAGATCATAAGCAAATACCATATACGAATCGGTTATTTTTTAAAACCCCATATGTCACACTCGTTTGCATTTTCGGTTTTTGTGAGAAAATAGAAACTGCAGGATACATGCATCGTTATATGTGTAAATAAGATGGCACATGCCATGAAGACACTCCAAAGTTTTGGTTTGGTTTGGTCTTGAAACTATAAGTCATTGACTTTTGGGGTATGTATGACTATGTACGTGTGTACGTGTGTACGTGTGTGTGTGTGTGTGTCCGTGTGTACGTGTGTGTGTGTGTGTGTCCGTATGCACGTATGAACGTACGTACGTACGTACGTATGTATGTATGCATGTATACAGTGTCCATGGCATATCACTAACAGAGAGACTGGGATTGGTTTAAGGTGGTGCACGGAAATTATATATAATGCACGGAAATATTCCATTGTACTATCATAGAAACACATATTTGAAGCAACTGTTTCTGTCATGTGAATCATGTTTGATGTAGATACACATTGTAATTTTACATAATATTGTTAGAATTGTGTCAACTTCCAAACTGAACCTCCAATGCGTATTTATTTAGATGTTTAGGTAACAAAATCATGATTAGTTTTTGAAATTCTGGATGTCATTACTTTTAAATAAGTCCAGCAATTATTGCACTAGTGATACAAGTAAATTACATTTCTCCATAGCATTCACAATCAATATTTATGCATGAGAAATAAAAAAAGAGAAAGGTTATCTATGTACTTAATTACTCAGTTTTTCTTGTTTTTCCACAACTTTACAATTCCTGACTTGCGGTGTTTTAAAAATTCATACCGATTCATACATAAAAGCATATAACTCAGTTAAAGGTGATTTCCCACTATATGATCATTGGTAAAAAATTATAATTTTCGACCTCTCCACATACCTTAGAATTTTGTAACATTCATTCCGAGACACATTGCACTAATACGCCATCAGAAGTTTCTGGATTCTAGTCTGTCTAAAATGATAAGCAAATACTGCTTGTATGTATTTGCAATAACTCTTAAGAACCACTGAGTGTCCATTTACTATATTTTCTCACTATGTTCTTCCACTACATTTTCTCTCTACAAGTCCTTCGGCAAAATGTGATTATTTTCGCCTCCTTTTACACGCTTTAGAATTTTCTAACATTCATTCTGAGGCCCTGAAACACGAGCACAAGATTCCTCTCTGAAGCACTCACCGCGCGCGGAGCCGTAGATGGCGTGGGCGAAGCGAGTGACCCCGCGCCACACCGCAGAGAAGCCGCGCGGAGTTTCCTCCAAAGAAGAGAGCTCCGGAGGCCACATGGCGTCTTCTGAAAAAAAAGAGCATCTAATTGAAGAGCCTTCGCCAAGGAACAATTCTCCAGGGCGCGGAGAAAAAAATACGCGCCCGATACAAAAAAAAAGGGGGTGAGTAGACGCTTTTGGGGGTTTTGTGGAAACACAATATTCTACAGACATGAATTAGTGCATATGATTATTTACAAGTTAAATAATGTGTTGCCCGGATATTGATTTATAACAATAATCTACGGGACAGGAAAAGTAATGTATTACACTTAGGTGACAAATGTCATGGGATAGCAATATGCAATATATTGCTCGCGAATCGGCCCTAGGCCCACGCAGGCATGCATCCTGCATTTACCATAGCTCAGTATTATTATTGCGGTGGCAGGTGCATGTAACTTTAATTGGAGACCAGCATTTATCTTTTTATTCCGATTTTTTAGACCGATTCTTATTCCCCAGGGTTGTTGTTGGGTATCGAAGATGAAATGATGATGATGATAATGATAATGAGGGGGTGAAAGGACGAAACACTCATACAAACATACACAAATACACCTATGGCCGAGGCGGGACTCGAACACGCGATCTTCTATCAACTTTGAATTTTGACTTTGAATGGTAGTTGGAGCTAGACGGATGGGAATTCCATTTCGGAAATCGTTAGAGCAAGCAATATTCCGAGATCCACAGTGTCAAGAGCTGTCTAGAAGAGAGGTCATTTCATAACCTCTCACACTGACGCAGTGGCTGACAATCTTCAATTAATAAGCGGGAGCAGTGGCGTTTGCGTAGTGTTGTCAGAGCTAACAGACCAGCAACACTGTGAAATAAACGCAGAAATCAATGTGAGACATATGACGAACGTATCCGTTCGGATGTATCCGTTAACCACGAAATTTGACTTTAATGTACTATGGCAGCAGAAGACCGACTCTAGTGCCTTTGCGCCTCTCTTGGGCTCGTGATCACATCGATTGGACCCCAGACGACCGGAAAACCGTGGTTTCATCACATGGGTCCCTATTTTAGTTGGTGAGAACTGATGGCAGAGGTTCACATGTGATGCAGTCCCCACGACGCCATGGACCCATGTTGTCGACGAGGCACTGCGTGATGTGCTGGTAGTGGCTCCATAAATGTGTGGGCTGTTTTCATATGGAATGGACTGGGTCCTCTGATTCAACTGAAACGATTACTGACTGGAAATGGTTATGTCCAGCTTTTTGCAGATCATTTGCAGCCATTCATGGACGTCATGTTCCCAAACAACGACAGAATGTTTAGGCCATGATTGACACAATACGCGATGTCTCAGGGCCGTGATTGTTCGTGATTTGTTCGAATAACATTCTAGACAATTTGAGCAAATGATTTTATCAGCCAGATCGCCCGGAACGAAACCCATCGAACATTTATGGGACGTAATCGAGAGGTCAGTTCGTGAACAAAATCCTGCGCCGGTACCACTTTCGCAATTATGCACGTCTGGCGATGCTGCAGGCAGCATGGCTCATTATTTCTGCAGGGAACTTCGAACAACCTGTTGAGTCCATGCCATGTCGAGTTGCTGCACCTGGCCAGGCAAAAGGTGGTCCGACACGATACTACGAGGTATCCCATGACCTTTGTCATCTCAGGGTATATCTACACAGTAAAATGGAAGTAATTTTCCTTATTTTTAATTGATACGTCATTGTTTATTATTGCCTTCGAAACGGAGTTCGATATACACTGCCAAACTTACCTGGATCGAGAGGATCGTGGGTACAAGGGAAATATGAAGGCAGTTGAATGGTGTTACATATTCTCTTATGGCGAGAATTATGATAGGGAATTATGGAACAGAAATACGAAAAAACAAAATGAATCAAGTTAATAAATAATTAATTTGTAAGTTGAATCATTAAAATTATATAAAAAATAAAATATGTACCACGGGCGTTGGGCACTGACTGGGCACATGGCCTCGGGCGACAAAACGCTCTTTTGCCAAAGGCCGTCGGGCTTCCTGTCACCGCACGGTCATTAGAACCCTTATAGTGCCCTTGGTGCGTAAATGACTTATGCATCCATTCCCGCCCCAACTCGCCTTTCCTACTCCTTTCACAGAGCTTCACACCGCACTCTCTCCCCGTCTATCCCCGCCATGCCCTCCTCTCCGTTCCCGTCTCGTTCCGTCCTGTCTCTCTCGGCCCTGCGCCGACCAATCCTACAACCAATCGCTATAGTACACAGCAGTGGTAGACTTACGATCAAACACATCTCAGCAGAACTGTTGCAGAAAATGTGTTATGAACTAAGCGGCGCGTGGCCTCATGTTACCGTGCACAAAAACACTACCGCACATGCAATGAGCACGCCGAATAGCTTACACCTCACGAGATTTTTGTCCGCTCACCATTAGGGGAATCACAGGGGGCAAAATTGTAGGTGGCTGTCAAACACTTGAATCTCTCTCAGACATCTCCGTCACTGGGAGGCAAATGTTGATCTCACTTTAGGTGAAATGTCTCAATCCTTGAAATAATGCTGTGGGAAAATAGCGCTCCATGTGATGTATTGGCTACAGTAGTTTATTCATGAAATAGTGTTATTTTATGACCAAAGGAAAGGTACTTTCTATTCGCGAGTCTTATTTGTCGGTGACATGTTGAAGCGCGACCTTCTGTGCTTTTCCTTAGTATATCAGTATTCACGCAAACGTTGGTCTAATTGCTCCAAGGAAAGATGACGGTTTTGTAGCATTTGCACGAAACACTGACACATAATCCCGCAAGTGAAATTCTGATGGTCAGGGATATACCCCTCAGTCCTAAATCATTGGAATTTGGGAAATTATGTTTCAAGGACAACAGCATACGCACAGGCAATGCGCAACACACAACACTGCGACACACTTCCATCTGCGTACTCCGTCGTGCATAACTTGAAGTTTATGTGCTCTAAGTTCTAAAAGGAATTTTAGGTATTGCGAAAGGAACACTAGTAATATTTCTTATGAAATTATCTATAAAATGAGACTTTTTGTACTCTCTGTTATATTTTGGAGAATACTCCTACACCGCAGCAAGATATGCAAAAAATGTCTGAAGTTACGTTCCAATATGAAGTATTGGAACACCTTTTAAAATGTGCGATTTTTGATGAGTTCTGTTTTTTCAATTACATATTTGGGTTGTAGGGGCTCTAACTATTAGGAATTTCCAGTCTGAACCACCAGGAAAGCTCCTGCACTGTATACCGCTGCAAGGTTTGCCGAAAATACTTCGTAAATACATTTCTGATTTTATAATAAAATATTTGTGAGAACATGTGATGAATAAGCACGAAATATTTGGAGAACATGTGAGATAATGCGCAGGAAAATATGTGATGTCGGAGTCATGTTTCTCAAGCCATACTGTATAAAATTAAAAACTTTTGAGTCTACATTTGTTGTAAGTTTCTCTCTTCTGGATATCCCCACACAATAGCACACGCACAGAAACACGCACAGTAGAATTTGAATGTGAAATAAAATTCGCTATTTGTTATACTGTGCAATTTAATGTCAGGTCTTTGCAATGTTACGTGTTCCAACACACAGTACCGGGTTTATGACAGTGGAACGAGGCTACGGGTCAGTCTTAAGTAGAGATCCTACGTACGAATTCTTATTTTCACTTCTTTCAAAAACAAGGATGTTTACAAAGTGCGGAATAATTTGCAGGAGTCTTATCTAGTTTTATACATATAATTTCTTTTACAATCATACCTTTTATTGATACATTTAGATAACAATAAGTGTCTTGTTATTGAAATTATTTATATAGAGGGTAAGTTTTATAAAGAATCCAATCCAAATTAATTGAACAAAATAAAATATCAAATTCTAATAAAACATATGAGACTTTTGGGCTTCGAAGATCCTGGAACGGTGAACCCTGGGAATTGCAAACTAGAGACCAGCAAAAACGACCTCAGACTACGGTTACGTAGAAATATGGCAGTTCTCAACCTCCAACCCCTCCACTTTGGAGAAGAAACCTACCGATCGGATGCTCTGATAAGTTTACTATACTACAGTTTTTGCAATTTCTCCTTGCAATATTCTGTGACTAACCAATCCCAAATCTGACTACGGACCTCGCGAAATCTTCCCTTCGTCATCTTAGTTACTTTCTCTCCCCTTACACACCCACCAGTTACACACCCACCACCTACTCCGCACGCACATGCACACAAGCGCGCGCCAACACACTCACTCACAGCACACTACACAACCACACACAACACACCACACAAGAGCGGCGCGCGCACGCAATACATGTGCGCGCACACTTGCGCCGCACGCGCGCACACGTTGCGCGACGCACAACACATCGCGCGTACCACACACACGGCGCGCGCACACAACGAGCGCGCGCCACACACACGAGCACACCACGAGCGCGCGCACACCACACGACGACACACACACCCTGAGCGCACACACACACACAGAGCCGCGCACACACCACACACAACACCACGAGGCGCACCACACACACACACGATCGCGCGCACCACACACACGAGCGCGCGCACACACCACACGAGCGCGCACACACACACACCGAGCGCGCACACCACACACGAGCGCGTCACACACACACACGAGCGCGCACACACACACACGAGCGCGCACACACACACACGAGCGCGCAACACACACCGAGCGCGACACACCACACACGATGCGCGCACACACTATACGAGCGCGCCACACACAACACACGAGCGCGCGCACACACCCCAACAAAACGAGAGCGCGCGCACAACACACACGAGCCGCGCGCACACACACACGAGCGCGCGCACACACACACGAGCGCACACACACACGAGGCGCACACACACACACGAGCGCACACACACACACGAGCGCACACACACACACGAGCGCACAACACACACACGAGCGCACCAACACACACGCAGGCGCACACACACACGATGCGCACACGCACACACGAGCGCACACGCACACACGAGCGCACACACACACGAGGCGCACACACACCACACGAGCGCACACACACAGCACATCGAGCGGCACACACACACACGAGCGCACACACACACGAGGACCCGCACACACGAGCGCACACGGCACACACGAGCCAACACACACACACGAGGCAGCGCACACACACACACGAGCGCGCACACACACACACACGAGGACGCGCGCACCACACACACGAAGCGCGCGCACACACACACGAGCGCGCACACACACACACGAGCGCGCACCACACACACGAGCGACGCACACACACACACGAGCGGCGCCAACACACAGCGAGCGCGCACACACACACACGAGCGCGCACACACACACACGGAGCGCGCACACACACACACGAGCCGCGCACACACACAACGAGCGCGCACACACATACGAGCGCGCACACACACACACACGAGCGCGCGCACACACACACGATGCGCGCGCACACACCACGAGCGCGCGCAACACACACACGAGCGCGCGCACACACACACGAGCGCACACACACACGAGGCACACACACACACGAGCGACACACAACACACGAGCGCACACACACACACGGACGCGCCACACACACACACGAGCGCACCACACAAACACACGAGCGCACACACACACGAGCGCACACCGCACACACGAGCGCACACGCACACACGAGCGCACACAACACATGAGCGCATGCACATGCGCGCGGCAAACACGATGCGCACATACACATGCGCACATGCTCCTACCTTGTTTGTTGAACATTGTTGCCAAATTTATTAATTCGGAAAAATAGAATAAGGTTAGGAAATGGATAGTTATAAATATTTTTATTTAAATGTAAATTTGCAATGATTTTTTGAGGAACAAAAGCAAATTTAGATATTGATCTTTATTGACTGTGAAGAAACAGTACACTTAGAGCGCTTTATAATTGATTTTCAACAAATACAACGGTAGAAGATGGCATCAACATGATGTCAGTGCGAATCCCTCTGATGTGGGGAGGTCCTAGGTTGAAGTCCTGACGGTGGCAGGATTTTCCACAGCGAGCTTGTTAGCTACGTCGAAGTTTCAGTCGCTGTTGGAGAAATTCATAGCGGCCGGTGCTGCTGATCAGATTAGTTTTTCCGTGGTCTCTCCGATCAACACCAGGCGAATGCCGTAGCAGTTGCCCCTAACAAACGGTTCACGGGACGCGCGCGATCTCACCTTGGTTCCTAACCTCACCCCCCTAATACTCACACTAACACGCGCTACACTACTAAACCTGCTTGGGAACCCGGCTGGGAGACCGTCAGGAGTGGAGAATTTATCCCAGCTGGGGTGGTACCGCCGCTGGTGGAGATACCTGGTTGAGGAAAAAACCCCCCTGCGCCGGATCACGCCACACAGCAAGGAAAAGATTCCAGCCACGCCCGAGCAAAAGCATGCATTCCTTACGGACTAATGACCCCCATGGTAGTTGACGTGCTCGGAATCACATAACAATGATCAACAAACATACAATTATATAGCATACATTTTCATATGTCTGCTACTGCAATAACATTTATTTCGATAATTTACCAAACATCAGTTTTTAAGTATGACCGGTTTCTGTACATATGTGGCTTGGATTGCAAATAAACTGTTCCAGAGTATAACGCTATGTGAGAGTAATACGTAATCCTCACGTACATACCATATGAGTCTGACAAAAGTGCGGCATTTTCTAGCATCCCAGATATTATTGAAGCTCATTTTACACGTCAATTTTACCTTCTCATCTCCGTACTATATGCGAAGTACATAAAAAGTTATGTAATGTTGCAAAAATATTTTCTTCAAGCATTTCGAAGCAGATAGGCTGCCTAATTGCACTTTTTTAATATGACGTTGAAGTTCATTCAGTTGAATTAATGTTTTCGAAAATGTTAATATGCACATTTTCCAGAGATGTAAAGACTATTGATTTGTGAGATATAAGTACTTTAAAATTACATCACATGAAATTTTTCCGATAAACTCAAAAATGTTCTTTAAAAGAGCTTCAAATTTCAAATTTCAGTAGCCGCTTAAACTCCATTCTTTAAAAAGGGACTCCAAATGTATCAGAGAAAATTGCATTTAGAATGAGGTTTTACTGTTCTTAATATTCTATACCAGATATTTCCTTCTGTCGGTACTATTAGAAACAAAAAAAATAGAAAATGTTCAAAAAATGTACTTTGGGTGGCGATAGGTGCAGCGGGCAAGAGTATGTGCCAATCAGAAATACCTTAGTGAGACCAAAGGAAATAGAAAACTAAGGAAAGGAAAGGTCTGTGCCCATTCGGTAGCACCACAAGTTTCATTTTCTGTTCAGAAAATGTATGGAAAAGGGCCGGCTCGTTAGCTACGCGATGGCTGATTCGGGAATCGGAAATCTGAATGGATTGGATATTTTACACGGTCATATTCGTTTCCTGCACGTGAATCCGTTGGATTAGAATATTCTCCTCTGGACGCCAGGCAAAAAAAACGCTGAAGATAAACAGAATGAAACTAGCATCTATGAGCAAATTAAGTTAGAATGAAGCATCGGAAACTATATATTGAACAAAGTGTTACGTTTCACTTTCTGTGCCCGATAGGAAAATGATTGAAAAAATGACATTGTAATCGGGCTTAATATAAATCTGAGTATCTGCAGCGCCTGCGCTTGCATTTCATAAAGATTAATGATCAAAATCCTCACTGTAGCAAAGAAGTATGAAGCTGCCTTTTATTTCGGCGTTCAAGTCCGTTTCATTAGAGCACGAGACAAAGAAATATCTCATGTTAGAGATGCACGATTGCTTACATTGTTACCGATTTCAAATGTAGCCAACGACCAAACGTAGCGAGAGCGCCAGACTTTCATTAGTAATACATTGGCTATTGAAAGCATTATTGCAACCGGCAAACAAACTTGGAGATTTTAGTTTAAATTCTGTGTCTCAAAGGTTTTTTTTTTTTTTGTTTTTTTGTTTTTTTGTTTTTTTTTCTTTCATCGCTTTTTTTTTTCGAAATTCACTGAGTATTTTTCATTACATACTACCTCTTTATGAGCAAAGTTTAGTATGTTCTTCAGCGGGGGACATTCACTTGTTAAATCCACCGGTACTCGAAACACCTGTGGGAACCAAGAACTAATTTATCAAATTCAAATGTCCCGCTTCTAACTTCTAATAAAAGAATGGCTGAATAGAGATAATTACTTCGCACTTAAACTTCAACAAGGTATTCGACCGGACA